GTGTGTGTGAGAGAGAGAGAGAGAGAGAGAGAGAGAGAGAGAGAGAGAGAGAGGGAGAGAGAGAGAGAGGGAGAGAATTTGTGCGTAATACAGTCCTGCACTCTGCAATTAATGCAACTGTGTGCAAATCATCTAAATTTGCACAAATTGTACAACAGAGGCCTGAATTTTTCTTAAATCTGAAATTAAGAGCAAAACTCTTCAAAGTGGCCAGGGTGGCCTATGTTCATATCCAGAGTGTCATCGGCAGGTCTCTTCCTCCCTTTTTCTTCTCCAGCAAACACAGACCTTTTACTAACTTTAACAGATTACAAAACAGTATAAATCAAAGCAGCATCTTTCTTGAGAAGTAGGAGAAACATCTGTCCATGTGAAGAGTGGCATCCCAACTGAAACTTCCACTCCTTCCCTCCCTTTTAGAAACGATTCGGACTCCACCCTCAGGGTGACTCTTGATGCTTGAAGGTTAGGTGGTGGAAATGCCAGACACTTCTTAATTTGTCCTGTCACTTTGCCTGCCATCTCCTCATAGGGCAAGGAACTCCCCTGGATTTCCTCCCACTCCCACCAGTTCTGAAATGCACCCCCTTTTCCCAAGGGTGGCTGATTCTCATGTCCTGGATGAGAATCTTCACTAGACAACCTTGAAACCTCTGTGCACTTCTCATGTTCAATGTCACAGTGAGTTGGCCCCAATTTGCAAGACAGGCGTTTCCCAGCTCCAAATGGGTAGAAATATTTTGACCAATTTCATGGAAGCAAAAGCAAAATAGCAACAGCAACCAGCTCAACCCACATTTGGCCACTGGTTGGAAATGTGTTGAAAGTTCATCAATCTTAGGAAGAATTTGGCACAAATTTAATTGCAGAAACATTTAAAAGTACAAGTGAAAATTCATATTTTCTCCCGCAGACTTGCATGTGAAATGCACGTCGTGTAGGGGTTGCCTATTTGGCGGGCTGTGTAATTTTGGAAGTACTAAACTGTACAGATGCATTTGCACCAGGTCTGATTACCTCAATGAGCAGATGACAGAATGAGAGGTGCCTGGCGGCCCATGAAATGCAAACAGAATGGATTCAACAAAGTCAATACATCCTTAGTTGGTCCTTAGTCACACAAAACATTTCTATCATCTCACACACAATCCTCATTGATTGGATCAGCTCACACATTCCACTGCGATAAAGTGATAGGAAATCTCTAGCTGCTATCATTGGCATTGGCAGGGAAAGAAGCCAACGGCCTGTCTTGGAGAACCAAGTGGAAGAGGGGCTAGTTGAAATGTCTCCTCCAAATGGCAGATGGGAGACACCATGTTTGGGCAGGGGGCCTTGTTGAAGGACTACAACCCCTTTGAGAGTGGGACTGGCTCAGCCACTCCTTCACTTTTAAGTGGCTTACAAGCTCAGGGTCTCAAGGAACAGGGGTGCCTTCACTGTCGCAAATCATCGTCTAGACATACTCCCATCTGGGCTTCTTTGAACATTCTTCTCATGGAATCCCCACCCACTCTGGACTGTTGTCACTTGAACCTTGCACTATTAAAGGGTCTTCTCTACTCTGTGTAGAACATTTAGTTTTTGCTGTGGTTTATAGATTTTCATCACAGATATCTCAAGTTTTCCAGATGTCTTGGGGTTATGCCAACTCTTGGACTTTATTATATCTGAACCCCTGCAGCACTGATTCCACACTGGAAGCGTTGACCATCAATATCTCTGCACGTATGGGATTATGTATTCTGGACTTGCTTGTAAATCTGTCTTGACTTGTGAATGGGATAGGCCTTGACCCATTTAGCACCTGGCTTCCAATGAAGGTTTAGAGCTTGGACTAAACCTCAGCCTGTGTGGATTCATTCAGATATATTTCTTGAACCCTCTTTGCCTGGGTAGGCTTACTCCAAGAACAATTCAAGTCCTTGTCCTCTATTCAGCGGCATAGAGATTGCGCTGAGGAACCTGGAATGTCTGGAATGATGGCAAATTTCATCCAGGTGACAACTTATGAAATCTACCAAGGATATCTTTTTAATGACAGCTATCCATGTACTAAATGCAGATGGCAGGGTTGAAGAGAACATTTTTGATGGGTGTTTCGATTTCTACACTCCTTTCCATTCTTCAGCAGAATAAACCATGTTGGCCCATTAAAAAAAATCTGAAATCCACAGGCAGTAAGTTTATCAGGAGTAGGACTAGCAAAACTGCACAAAATTGCGGGCAAGTTTTTGATATCTGCAGATGGTTAATTGGATTAGATGCTACAAGAGGCAGGGGTTGAACATAAAAGAGAAATAAAGGCTGATATAGGTTTAAACTGGTGTGGAAGGGGAGTAGGTTTTACTATGTGCCATGCAGGTTTATGGTTGCCAGTTAGGCAGTTTGGACAAAGTAAATTGAACATTTTGGAAAATAAAACATCCTGCTGCTCCACAGATTTGCATCCAACCTTGGTCAAAATACAAAGGTTCTTTGGAAGACAGAGAACAGAAAGAAGAAATAACTTAGAACTTGTTACATCAATAAAATTTGTTGTTAATTTGGGGTTGAACAGAAGGTCAAAGAAAAGTAAATAGATACCAACTGGGTGGTTTTATGTACTGGATGGAGAAACTGTAACTATTGATTTGCCAAAATCCAAGCTTGAGCAAAGTTTGGAAATGTTTTGAGGCATGTCTTCATGCACTTTTCTTTGGAGTGAGGAAATGGTCTGATGAATCTGTTCCATCATGATGATGATGATGATGATTCTCCTTTGTATGATTTTGTTAAGTCCAAGCCAACAGCTTGAGCATTGCTTTTGAGCTTAGCATTATGGTGGGAGAGGCAAGAAGTATTTGGGGGCTTGCAGGCAGTTTTGGAAAGTGTGCCAGTGCATCCCCATCTTTGCAACTGAGTTCCAAGCCTCTTAACAGTTGAAAGTGATGGTTTGAGCATCATTTCCTGCAACAGCTGATGGGACTCAGAGACTGCCAGCGAATGAAAGCGAGGCTGAAACGCCATCTGCCCACTCCTAAATCCCCTTTTCAAAAGCTGAGCCTTTTTTCCTTGTGGAAGGAGAAGAGGTAGCAGGCGAAAGGTTGAAAGGTTTGTCAGCATTAACTGTAAAGCTTTTAGGGTGAGAACAAGGTTGTTTACCCATGGCTTCAACAGTTCTTTAATGTTTATAGCGATGATTATATGTACCTAAATATATGATATATATATTGTACCTACCTAACAATAATATAGCAATTACCTTTTTTTTTAAGCAGAATGTCCATGTGTAGTGTTGACATTCCTGCTTTAAAGATGTGCTTTCAGTAGATGAATGCCTTTGACTAGATTTATAGCTGATTGCTTTTGTAATTCTGTAATTTATGATTTAGTAGCTCAAGCCATTTCCCTCCCTTTGGAACAGAAAACAGACTTCCAAATGTAAATGATTTATATCACTGATTCTATGCATTGTGCATTGCACCTAGTGTATAGGTTACTTTGTGCTACCAAATTACAGGTACTGAACCAAAGTGATCAGTTAGTCATCTGCCTGATTTTGTATTTCAGTTTCTTCTCTGCACAATTCACTCTTGTTCCTGTCACATTTTTGAGGCCATTCCCAAAAAAATAAGTGCCAATATGAGAGTCCACAGCAGGCCAACTGTGTTGAAGCCAAATTCAGGCCAATTCTGTGTACCTGCAGGCATTTTGAGAGAAGTCCACATAATTTCAGTAAGGATAGAGAAGTTTCTAAGGAAAGGAGTGCACACATTGCTTTAGAACACCCTCAAAATGACGCAACCAACACCAAGGCAAAAACTCTGGTATTCTTGGATCCCGGCAGTGAGAGCGAGATGCTCTTTAGAACAAACATGTATCATCACTTGCTTAGTTTGGATATGAACGTCCTTTTCAGGAGTTTTCTGCACCTCTGTTCTCCCTGTTTCTTTCAGTTTCTCATTTCCCCCGACATAAGTTAATTTAATTTTGTTGCTGCACAAAGAAGGGTTTGCACTTCTGCAAACATTTTCCATAATAGAAGTTTGTCTAAAAATGTATTTTGCTGCACAGATGCCCCTAATATATGCATTTTAAGGCAGTGTCTTTTCCTAATATAATGCAGGTTTGTGCCCTGTGTTACAAATAGAGACATTTCTGTGTGCATTAACTCTCTCCTAATATGCTTGGAGAACTGCATCACACAGTTCTGAGAAGTGCACAGGCCAAATGCTAGTTGTGTTCCATTTCACATATTAATTTAAGAAATGTGATGTAGTAAAATGAAATTATTTCCATTCCTTCCTAACTGTACAAACAACAGGTGGGGAAAGGGAGTGGGTCAACCTAATTTCTATCCATGAGGAGCTGGACAGTTGCAGGTGTTCCTTCCACCTTCTTAACACCTATTCAGTATTAACATGAAGAACTACTCAAAAGGGTCCAATACTGTTGGGTTCACGGGCATACACTGGATCCAACTGTTGTTCTATCTAATCCAATGTAGTCTTCTCTATCCAGTGTAGTCTTCTATGCAGGATTTCAGGCAGGAGTCTTTCATGCTAGTGTACACCAAATTAAAAAGGTACCATTGGAGTGTGCAAGGCTAAATTAGATTTTGAATCATGGACATTGAGTAACACAACTTGCTTATTCCCATGCGTGCCTTCTCAGGATGTGCCCAAAGCTTCAGTGTTACCATTTTTGCTTCTAGGGAAAGTCCTGGCTCATTTCCATATGTGGAGATATTGAAAAATATTTCTAGTGTGCACCAGGAAATGTCCTAGCCAGACAATGAGAGGGTATGTTTTACATCTTCCATATCTATAAACTGGTTCCTATTTACAGTTTTCATTTCTTCCCTTCCACCCCAGTCAGAATTCTGAGGCCCTTGTTTTGCCCACCCCACGGCCTTCAATCTTTCTTAAGCTAACATTTTTGTTGTGGTTCTGCAGCCGTCAGAGCTACCTGGTGTCTGCCAATGCTGTCCTCTTATGTGTTTAGTGCTGCTCTTCGGCTGCAGAAGAAGTCTAATATAGAGACTAAAGTACTCTCTACTCAAGTGTAAAGTCATCCATTGCATTCTGCCTCATCTCCTAATCTGCAGACTCCCTGGAAAAGATACCATCACTTCATGGCATCCAAACAGACATTTTGAAAAACAATAGACTGAAGAGAAATCACATAAAATCTCAGGTCAAGTGCTTTGTTTGAGTGTCTTTGCTACATGCAGATTATAACAGACTTTTCCATTGGTTCTGGCATGAAAATCAACAAGACTGCCACATGAAGTTAAGCATGCTGAAATGCCACTAAAACCAATTGAACTTAAGCATTTAACTTTCATTCCAGTGGGTTTATTCTGCACAATGAGGCCTAATAGAGAGAATGTTTGACATATTAAAAAGGTAAAGGTTTCCCCTTGACATTACGTCCAGTCATGCCTGACTCTAGGGGGCGGTGCTCATCTCCGTTTCCTAGCTGAGGGAGCCAGCGTTTGTCCACAGACAGTCTCCGTGGTCACGTGGCCGGCATGACTAAACACCGAGGTATATGGAATGCTGTTACCTGCCCACCAAAGTGGTACCTTTTTATCTGCTTGCATTTGCATGCTTTCAGACTGCAAGGTTGGAGGAGTTTGACGTAGTAAAGGCCATTAAAATCAGTGGGACTTAATCATATAGTTGAGAAGCTGAGTCCCATTTATATCCATTTGGGATGTGCAAGATCTCTGCCTTAGTGGAATTTTCTACTTTGCCCCCTGCCCCTGTGTAATAACTATGCAAAGTTCACCAAATGTCATCAGTATCCTTACTTTTCTTATCAGTGGTTGCACCTGCTGGGGTACCTGCTTTCACCCCATTGCACACAAACTGATCAGCCTGATGCCCATTATATAGCATTAGACCTACGGATAAGTGTCCATGTGTCCCGTGGGCATTTGAAGATGGGATTTACAAGGCCACAGGCACAGACAAATTTAGATTAATTTCAGGAGAATTAATCATTTCAAATCAGCTACTGGAGAAAGGGCAACAGTCAAAGGGGCAGTGTTTGCTGCGTGTCACAAGCAAAAGGGACTCTAAAAGATCTCATTTCCCAAGTCACAAGTGCTTGGGAATTTTCTGCATGCACAGGGTGCTGGAATACAGGGATCTGGCCATTCAATGTTGAGTTATCACTGTGGATGAGAAAACTATGAATTCTCAAACTCATCAGGAAACTCCAAAACTCAAACTCAGACTCATCTCCAAACTCCATTCTGGCCTGTTTGTGTCCAGATTCTTTTTCTTTAAAACAGGAAAAGTGCACACTTTGCTACATAATATTTAAAAGGGGCATTCTCCCACTTCAGTAATCAGTGAACATGTGTATCATTTGAACAATGCATATTTTAAAGTGCACACATGTTTTAAATGTACCTTTTTGGAATGCAATTGAAAGCTCCAGAATGTGTTAGATTCTTTGCATTCATCCCCTGAAAAATGCACCCGGTTGTGTTTCGCTTTTGAACAAGATAACTTCTAATGATTTCCAAACTGTGGGTACATCCCCAACAGCTTCCATCTCATGTTCCCCAGCATCTGTGTTATGAGAAGTAGCATATAGCTATCTTGACTAGTAGCCATTGTTAGCTTTATCCTCACTGGATTTATTGAATCCCCTTTTAAAACCATCCAAATTGGTGACCACCACTAGCACATATAGTAGCAAATCACATAGCCTAATTATGCAATGTGTGAAGAGAAATGGATTTGGAAAGACCACATTCAAAAATGGGGAAGTTCATTTGAAAACTCCAGCTAAATTTCAAAGTATGTGAACATTTTTGTCTCTTTCTCTCAAGGCCAAAAAATATCATCCTAAGAAAGCAAAATATCTTTGCAATGAACTCATCACTCCCAATATAACATAGGTTTTGATTTTTCTAGGTGTCCTGTGCTAGAGTAAAGATAGGGCTGATGTGATGTCGACCCAGGAATTGACCCTGGGGCAAACTTGTAATGTGTGGTTTATTCTCCTCTTCTTCCTTATGCTACTTGGAAAATATGGCAGAAGAGAGGTGCTAAAGCACTTACTTGTCTCTATCCCAGAGATAACTGCACTTTAACATAAGCCCTGTCTGACACGTGAAGATCACCAAGGGGTCCATTTCATTGGCTGTGATTCTGTTTTGCACAGTTGTAATCAGGTTACTTGCCAACAAAAGTGAGATGCTAGAGGTTTTAATGCCTTCCTAGGGATCTTCCCAACTGGATTAAAACTTTGGTTTCCCATGGAGCATCCTAGTTAAATATCCAGCAGCACCTGTGCTGTGCAGGTCTTTCATGTCCTGTTTTGAGTGGCTTAGTTGTTGGATGCGATAAATTACCTTCTAATTCTATCTCAAAAGTTATCACCTAATGTTCCCTCCCATTAAAGCAATCCAGGCATGGGAAAACAAAGGTGCTTCTGAAAGTGCTCAGCCATAATGAGATGGATAATCAGTGTTGCTATCAACAAACTCAGAAAAGGAAAGTAAGGTTTTATTTACTTTTATTTAATGCCCCCGTTATTCTCAATTCAGTATAGTCAGTTTTCTACTTTCTGCACATGACAACCTAGGAGCTAAACATGTACAGATGGAAAGATAACATGTCCCTTGCTATGTGTGGCTCTTTTTTTAGTAAGTTCCTTAGCTGGAAGAAAATGTCACCCTTGGACTATAGCTTTGAAAAACAGTTGTCCATGAGTTGGTCCCACCAAATCAGAAAGGCCAGTAAAAGTAGATATCTCTTGAAATTGGCCTAGATGATAAAATGGGGGAGGCTGGTGTCTCCAGAGCCAATGACATGTTCACTCTGGGTTTTAGTCTGAATTTTAAAGGCACTGTCTTGGTGCTGAAACTTAAACCATGGACAGTTCCTTAAAAGTTCAGATGGCAAACTGGAATGGATACTCTGATTTTGTAAGCACTGTACTGAAAATCCAAAAGAATGTATGCATTGCTATACTGCAGCATCTCTAAATGAGCTGTGATTGTCACATTTTTAGCTGCTCATGAAATAAGGACTGAAAACCACATGGCTCTAGCAAAATTTGCACAGAATCAGTGGATTTGCACAAATCACTCCAGGTCTGTGGGGTTTCCATTTGCACAAATTTCATTAGTGGTTTAAAAAATGTGCCAATTATAGACCATCATGGTGACAAAGTCCATGAAAGAAACTGACTATTACCACTGCAATAATACTAATACTAAAAGAGAAAAAAGGTGCTGATGGTGTCAACTACAAAGGTGATGACAACCGTGTGCCTGTTTTGGTCCTGCTTCAATACACATGACTTTGCACTGGAATGTATCAGCATGTTGTTGCTGCTCTGGTGGTATTGATTGGTGATTTGGAAGTACTTATATGACTAGGAATAGAAAAAGTCGAGGTACCCTAAGGTCAAGACAATGAGCATTTTCCATTTCCATGAAGTATTCACTTCATAGGCTGCATCTCTGTTCAACAGAAATAGGAACAGACAACACTTTTGCCTTATCAGCTTGAGTACCAAAAGCAGGCCAAGTCAGTCTCTCTGTCTGTCTCTCTCTCTGGTCCACTTGGAAAATGGGAAGTTTTGTGTGTGCACGTGCGTGTGTGTGTGTTTTCTTAAACCAAGAAAATTTGCTTAACGTCTCAGTGCAGTTTCCACAAATAACACTGGGTTGATTGGCTGGAATCTTGGTGGGGGACAGTTCAGCTGGACCACTCTGCAGAATTAGATTCCTCACACATCCAGGATGGAAGCCTCTGAATTCAGAGGAATCCAAATATCTAATCTAGATACCAGGTCTCTGGAGGAGTCCAGGCATCTAATGCAGTATTGCCAAGGAATGGTGAAATCAATGTTGGCTTTTTCTGCTTCCACTCCAAACAGGCCTCCAAACCCATCCAGCAGAAGCTTGCTGGAGAACAGAACACTAGGACTGGAGATGACAAAGGGCTCCTCATATCCTGGCCCCTCCCCTCCATGCAACTGGAATAGGCCTAGGTCTTCAAAGTCCACTTTTGTGACTCAAGAGAACATCTGGCAGGTTTCTTTCTATGGAAACTGCAAAGGAAATGGTGGGGAGGAGGAACTGATTTGCAATCCCCGTCCTGACACTGTAGCCATGTCTAGGGTTTTGGAAGGGAGGCTCCAAAAAGATCTATGCTCTCTAGGAACCCCAAGATTACTCTCTTGAATTCCAGTCTCCCAGAAGCAGAAAACTGAACATTAAAAAAGGATACCAGTCAGTTGTAAGATGCTAATTCCATTTGAAGAGGGAAGTGTGACATCATAAATAACTAGAACAGAGGTGGAAGTGCTGCATTCCACATATGGTTGAGCTGGGACGCCTTCCTTCGTGAGTTTGTGTGCTTGGAGCTCTGATGATTTCCACTATGTGTGTCCTTCTTTGCAGAAGTCTCTCTTCATGCTGCAGCCCAGGTCAGCGAACCGGGATGCTCCACAGGAATGCCTTTCGGAGGACTCCTCCCTTACCTCGGGGCAGGTTCAATGGTATCACAGGACCAGCATACCAACAGCTTGAAGAGTCAAGGATCTCAGATCAGGATTCAATACCTTGCGAAGGGTAGGTGGGAAATGCAGCAGAAGCCTGCCCAAGCAGTGAGATTTTGCTATTAAAGGGGAAGAGTAAGAGTCACTGCAGCAGGATCCAGCCACCAGAAGGGATGCAAAGAAGAGCTTCAACGGCCTCCTCTTCATCTCCAGTGATGGTAGCCAGCAGAACCCGAACCCAAATCCAACCCCAATCCCACCCCCTCCCCATCCCCACCTCAACCCTCCTTGTGGCTCAAAGGTCCTTTTTGTCATCCCATCACTCACGATCCCACAGCCTCAGAGAGAAGTTAGGATGCTAAAATAGAATATCCCAGTGTTACATTACCCTGAGCTTCTCGGGAGAAATGGAAAGGTGCACACGAATAAGACTCCTATGGCTGCTCATTTACCAAACACTAGGAATGCAATATTATTGTGTGGCTGTAATACCCAGTCCCAAATGCTCCATCCCTGAGGTCTCCAAGGAGCTGGTGGGTGAATGATGGTGCATCAGGAGAGGCGGAGAGCTCTGTTGCATTCCTTCTCCAGGCCTCTCAAATATGAACACTCTCCCTATTCTTCTCCGTGGTTCACATGTGAATCTGGAGATGGAGAGAGGGACAGACATGATTGCCCTGCAAAAGCCAGGATCCACACCTCCACCTGGGAGTGGATACTATGTTTGCTCACTGCAAGATTTTTAGGACAATCGAGCATGGCTGGGACCATCTGGGGAAAAATGGGGGATGCTTATTAAGGAATAATTTGGGGTGCGATCTGATGTGGATTTAGCCTGAACGAAGGCCTACAACTCTTAGCATGCCTAAGCTAGGGGGATGCTGGGAGCTGTAGGGGTTTTTTGCCTCTTTAAACATGTGTACAATTGCATCATAAGTGCGCCATGACACCCAGCCCATTCAATGTGTGGGAAAGGGACAGGTGGAACCAAACAAAAGGCAGCCTCCTCTTATGCCCCTGCATTCAATGGGCTATTTGTAATTAGGAAATAATGTCATACATTATTAGATTCATATGAATTTTGATAGTTTACTGTTTTAACAACCACTACTAGTGGGGCAGAGGAAGAGTTTCTTCTTGTTCCTCTTTTATTCAACTTCTATGTGAATGACATAGTTTTGACATGAACAGGAGGCTATTTATTTCCCATTGAAATTGGGAGCAATAAATTGTCTGTTCTGCTGTATGCAGATGGCATATTCCCAGTGCTCTTTTTGTAAAAAAAAAAAAAAAAAAAGTGCTGGAGCTCACCTCTTGGGGTCACACTTTTACACTAAAAAAGATCTTCAATTCTCCAACTTTTTTTGAAATAAAGAACTTATTTACCTTTTGCACGTAGCCAGTCACTCTACATACACATAAACATAATGGTCGCCGCCGGCAGTAAATACTCAGTGCATGACCACACGACCGATCCCACGCTGAGCAGCATTCCAAAGCAGCGCGGACACACACACAGCCCACAGGCACTATTTTGATGCTTTTGCTGCCGACCTGCTACGCCCAACAGGTGATTCACAATCACATGGAAAAATCCGTCAAAAAATAGTGCTGGAACGCTGTTCCGGTGCATTCTATGACAAAAAACCCCCTGCATATTCCTATTGGTAAAAAATCAACTAGACTGCAAGAAAAGAAAAAAAATAGCCTTCAGATTACCGGGCAGAATAAAAATGTATTAATTAAATGAATGTTTAATAAAATAAATGCTGTGTGGCAGAATGTCTAGCCATTCATTATGCTAAAACAGAGATATGTCCAGGCTACAACTAGATGCTAAATGGCCACTCAGGGACTGACTCATTCAAATAGCTGGATATTAGTTCTGCCCACAGAAGTGAGAAAGCACAAGAGGTCTATATTAAGTTTGAGATTATCATCAAATCTAAGCCAAGGGTTCATTTTCTAGAACTTTGAAAGATAATGTGAGAACTTAATTCTGCCAAAATTTCCTGCAATCTTAGGAAAATTTATTCAGAAACATGTTTCACTGTGTAAGTATGTACAGGATTTCAATCTAACATTATTTGACATATGTACTTACTCAATTCTCATATGCTGTTCCTCTTTGCCACAGTGGTGATTCTTTGCAGATTAAACATGTTTGAATATATTTTTTAATTCTTAGATTACTTATTTTTCTATCAAGCAGCAGACCTACAGCTTCAGTTTGATTGGAAATGGATCAGTATTCCATGTCAACCAGAGAAATCTTTATTAAATTATATTCCTGAAATGAAATTGCAACTCACACTTGTAGATCCTCCAAAGTATATGTTTAAAAAGGCTGGTGATTTGTGACCTTCATCATAATTAAGGGTGTCTTTTGTGCATTTCCCAAAGTACCCATTTTTCATTTTTCAAATGAATGTGTCTAGTTTAATGGAGTGTCTTAGAATTACATTGCAACTTTGGAACGGTGCTGACACATTGTGTTGGAGTCCATGCGTACAAACTGATAGATCGTTCCTGATCCCAAATGAACTGAAACTAATTTCTTATACATCCCTAATAATAATTTTTGGCTGCCCCATATTCACAAAGTACTAAGAAGATATACACCTCCAGAGACATTCCTTTTAAAGCAAAGCCAAGTATGTGCAAAGGGAACTGTTGTTCTTTTAGATGAACTTGACTATTGTTAATTTGACTGAGTGATATTACGATTGTTATGGTCATACCACATACTGTGATTGACTGACTGAACTAAATTTCTTTACAGTTATTTTAAAACTTAACGGTAAGACCATGGCAACACAAATTGTGACAAAACCACAAAGAACCACACAGCTGATCAAGCCAGACCTCAGCAGTTGAAGATTCCCAGACAGCCATCTAATAAAAAGATGGATGGGGAAGAAATGTGTTCAGTTTGCATTTTTATATGAACTTACTTGAGCCTGTACCTAAACTGGAAAGTTCCATGCTGATGTCCATTTTTTTCATAGTTTCTAATCAAAGTGCACACATTTTTTTAAAGGCATACAAACTGTACAATTTACAGTAAATTGTTTGCAATGAAGAAGTGATTATCAAGGAAAATTGCTTGCAGAATTTTTTTACAATTTGAAAAATGCAGACAAAACACATACATTTTAAGAGATGCACATGAAAAGATGTACAAAACTTTAATGAGTACACCTGTCTACCTGCTGATGCAAGTCAAAAGAAAAAATATATATTCTTGGGGAAAAATGAGAAAAAGAGGAAATTCAAAATTACAGATCCACTCTACAAAACCATTGTTAGTACCTTCCTAAAACTTACAAATGAGGCAGTTTGTTGACCTTTCTTGACAGAGATTCATGCAGGAAAGTTGCTATTGTTATTGCTTGTTATCAGCCATCTTATTTCAGATGACATGTGGATGCAAAGCCCTACATGGAAGGAGGTATCTCTTTACTTGCCCTGCTCACAGTCCCCTTTGATTTTCACTGAATTAAATCCGAGGCAACTTTGGAGACAAAGCATCTGAGGGATTTTGCAAAAGGGTTACATTTCTCAGGCTGATGACAAGAACAAGGAGGTCATTTCACACATCCCCCTCTCAGAAAACATCTTTGTAACACCAAAGTATTTATCCTGTTGTGTCTGTGTGGCTTAAGGAAAGCTAACTGCCTTCTTTCTCTCACTTAGTGACCTGGTAATTGATCATTCAATATTGGAGAACAGCTTTAAAATAGTTTGGAAGACTAACTGCTCTTATGCCTCTCCTTTCCCTAGGTTATCTACAGGTTTAAAACCATCACAGAATACATCACTAAATATGCAACTGCCTTCAAGAGAGACAAGCTCTTTCTTCAGTGGTGTGGCTCAGAAGGACGTAGTTGGCTATTCATCTCCCAGAGCAAGCTCTGTTCCCATCATCCCCTCGGTGGGCTTGGATGAAGCCTGCATGCAGATGCAGAACCTTTCAGACATACCAGGCATTAAATGGTGCACAAACTCATATTCCTCTGAACTTGTCAATGTGAGTGCCCCAGCCAGCAGCTGTCTTATCACAGAACAACAAGAAGTCAAAATATTGTTAGAAACTGTTCAGGAACAGATCCGAATTCTGACTGACGCAAGGAGGTCACAGGACATGGAACTGGCGCATGCCAACATGGAGAACAGTACCAGTGAAAACACTGCATTCCTGCCCATGAGTCCGGTGGCGAAATCAGAGCAAGAGGCACAGTTTGTCTTAAAAAGTGAAACAAAAAGAGACTCAGCATTGATCAAGTGACTTTGACGGGGGGGGGGGGGGGGGAGGGGAGGGGGCGGGATGTACGGATCTGTGCATTTGAAGCTTTGCTAAACAGGAAAGAGAGGAAATTAAATACAAATTATTTATATGCATTAATTTAAGAGCATCTACTTAGAAGAAACCAAATAGTCTATCGCCCTCATATCAGTGTTTTTTAACAAAATATTTTTTTAAGGGAAAGAGCGGTACCAGGAGGGATAACACTTAGAAGTTTTGGATTTTTTTTCCTTTTCTAATTTCTTTCTTTCTTTCTGCCCACCCCTCCCTTCTACTGTTGTTTCCTCCAGGCTAAGACATACAATTTAACAACCAGTTTTTCAGATCTCCTGCTGGAAGGTTTGATCAGGCCACTATCCTTAGACATATAATTCTGAACAGTCTTACCTAGGAACTTTGACTGGGAGTATCTCCTGCATACCTTTTGTGGCAATGAATGAAAGCTGCACAGCAATTACTTTGCCTAAACCCCCATTGATTTCAGCATGGAGTTTGTGTGAGTGGCATTTTCACTGTGCCCAGTTTCAGTGTTCCTCCATAAAGTTGTTTTAAAGTAGTCTGATTCTGATGTCCTCCAAATCCATACTCGCTTACGACTTACTACACCACAAGAGCTAGGCCACAGTTGCAGAGTTTTAGAACAAATGAGGATGAGATGCCATCAAAATGCAACGTAAGAGTGTGATCCAATGCATTTCTACTCAGAAGTAAGCACCACCGAGTGCAACGGGGCTTGCTCCCACATAGGTGTGTGTAGATTGCATCCATATCTGTCTCCCCAATCTGTTGCTCTCCACATGTGTTGGATTACAGCACCCATCACCCATAGCCATGCTGGCTAGGAATAGTGGGCAATATAGTCTAACATATTTGGACAGCTCCAGGTTGGGACTGCCAACCAAAAAGGAAATCTAAAGACACTCTGGAAATGCTTCCTAATGTGGAACACAGAAGCCATAAAGGTATTTCCAGGATTAGTAAATTGTATTTTGAAGGGAAAGGGAATTGGGGATTTGGACATTCCTCTTCCATAGAAATGTTGAGGGAAATGCAACCAGTTCTAGAAGCATTTCCAAATTAAATGTGGATGTAACACGTCTCTCATGCATGAACCTGAATGTCCACCTTCAAGACTTACAGCATTCTAGAAGCTATGGTCAATTTACAGAAGAATTAACTTCATTCCATAGCAGAAGGCTTGATTCTAAGTAGCAGTATGGGATTGGCAAAGAACATAGTCCTAGGCAGAAAAAGGGTCACAGCTCCTAGAAGCCTGGGGGGTTGTAGGATTTTTCTTACCTGCATAAACCTGCATGAGAGTGTGTAATTAACTGAAAAATGATTTGTGTTCACACTTTACATTCTCATGCACTGTCAAGAACTATTCTTCAGAAATAATGTCCTTTACCTCTTACATTTTGAACCAGATGGAAATCGATATACATGAAAGGAAAGTAACAAGTGGCAAATATGCAGACTGTGTGTGTGTGTGTGTGTGTGTGTGTGTGCATGCAGGTGCACACAAGCATGCCTGTGTGGACGTGTTACAGCTTCTTTTATTTAAAACCAAAAAACTGAAATTGAATTTTTACGCCATGAAGTATTGTCAGAATGTTATTCTTGGAAGTCATCTGTGAACTCCAAAGGACTGCATATGTTTGTGTCTTAATTTTCTGAATTCTTGTCCAGAGACCTGGAGGGATCCAGGGAGTTTCTTTACTTGGCGTATATTTGCAGTTGCCACTTCAATTTACTTCCATTTCTAATCTCCCCCTTACTTTACTTTCCATTTGATCCACAACCAAGTCAAGCATATTCTCCGGGCATGATCCAAGCTCCTTTGGCCCCTGTAAGAGGAAATGCTCCATTTGTACAAGTTAATTTCCCATCGTCCTTGTGGCGAATTCCATAACACAAACCAGAATGGACTTTCTGCTGCCTTTTTGGGCTTCCGTGCATATCAAAGCTCCAGTCTATGCCCCCGAGCCTTTGCACTGGCCTTAATTGGCTATGGACACAGATTACTTTGCCATTACTTAGAGAAGCCTTTGAAGTTAAAGGTAAGGAATGCACATATTGGATGCTTCTTGCTGATCCTGGAAGTATCAGATGTCTGTAAAAGTCACATGCCCCATGACGGGAGATTCCCCACTTTTGCTTCAGATGTTCCAAAAACAAAGGTAGAATAAACCTGATTTTCTCCACAAATTGTGAGGTCCAGACCTGTCCTTAGACCTTAAGCTTTCAAAACCGAAATCAATGAATATAGAAAGACCCCTGAACTCAGAAGGACACCCTAGCAGCCATCTGTATTCAGGCGCTTATTTTACCCAATGTGCAAGCCACTGAGCCCAAGTGGTATTTAGAGAAGTGTTCATGGATTTTTATGACATGCTGGGTGAGCACAGAATCAGGTCCTTAAGTGAGATAAACCTGCCAGTTGGGGTTTTCCTAAGAACTTGAAATTTCTTTTGTATTGTTTTTATTTAACCACAAACCACAATATGGCATCAGAATAAAGAACTTGTGTTCAGTAACAACCTATGTACTAGTACTTTTTTATTATTTTTTAAGGAAAAGTATCATCCACTTGAACTGTTTGTACAAATTACTAAACAAAGTAAAAACAAAACAGCGGACCAAACAGCTTTCCCTCCTTACTGGCAGAGTATACCTTCAAAATATATATATGCACAATATAAATGAAATACATTAATACCCCAATCCACAGCTGTTACCTTAAAAATGGATTGTACTACTTTGGTTCCCATGTTGTCTCAGGAGCAAAGTTCCCCAACAGTCAATCTGTTCCCATGTTGAATCAGAAGAAAGCAATATTTTAGCTGCTCAGCAACTGAAATGGAAAGAGTTGCTGGAATTTTTTTTTTTAAAAACTGGTCATTTAGTTAGTCCCCTGAAAAAATTAATGTCCACACAAGCTCTATTCCCACCCCACCCAAAGCTGATCGATTCGTCTTGTTTACAGAACTTTCTGTGGCTGTAATCTTCACTGTGTGCTTTCAGTAAAATGGAATGTGAGGGCGAACTCCAATTGATCTGCCATATACCAGAATGGTACAAAGGTGATTTGGCTAACAGTTTTCTACCAACATCAGTAGCCCTCACAAAGTTGAATAAATGGAGGGATCCTCCAAGGTGCTACCAAGAATGGGAGAGGAGGCAACAAGCCCAGAGCTGTCCCTTGTGTCTGGGGAACAAACCAACCACCTCCCCTTCCATTCCATCTTTAAATCTACTGGATGTACACAGCATGATTTCTGCTGCAGAAATAATTTGCTAATTTAGGCAAAGCCTTCTTGAAACATAATGTCATTTTGCCATCCTCAACAGGAGAAAGAAGAGCAATGCATTCATAGTTAATTGATGTGTGTGTGTGTGTGTGTGTGTGTGTGTGTGTGTGTTTTTATTGACATGAGAGATGAAGATCTGAAATGGTGAGAAATCTTCCATTTGTGTTAGCAATGCTCTCTGTACCCAGCAAAGGATGTGTGACTGTTATATGTTAACTGTTCTATTCAGTTTTCAGCATGTTTGAATAGAGAGACATTAATATTAACCATATGAAAGACTAGTGTACTTATTTGCTAACAGCGTAACTTCATCTCTGTAGAGGGGAAGTACATAAAGATATGCAGAAAAGGGTAGTGCTTAATCTGAATTACATTCCTCTTTCTACAGTTTGTTTCCCATATTGTACAATGAGTACTTTTTCCATTGCAGTCTAATGCTTTTACTTGTACAGGCTGAGTTGCACAAGTTACTGTCCAAATGTTTTGTGCTTGCACACATACACACATACATTCAAGAGGTTCTAGGCCAAAGTCTGCTTTGTGTGAAAGAGGTCAGTTCAAGGGCAAGGGAAGACTTGAAATTCATTTTATAGACCCTTGACAGCTCAGAAAGCCAGGTAACCTAACACTCAGGGCCTCACTAAGCTTTCCCTGCAAATCAGTGGGGTCTGAAAGCATTGCCAGCCTCTTTAACACTATTCTAATACTATTCTGATGTTCTTACAAGGAAAATTTAAGAATATTGTACATTAAAGATAAGGTTTAATGCACCATATAATGGCCGAACAGCCCTTCATGCACAAATATACTTCCATGTGCATATGTGTGCAAACATATGGAGTTGTTAAAATTTAAGGGTTTTTTAATGGATAGAACAAAAGTATTTGAAAATATACCTAATCCCTTTGCTAAGTTATATTCTTATCCCTAATTCATGAACCTTATTTATTCCTTATAAACACCCCAACCATCAAACAAAGCCACCAGGTGCTTCCAAAGGTGCAGTCATGCTTAGCATTAACCCATGGATACTAACGACTCTTGTTGGCCATCTCTAATATGTTCTGTGGCACTGGAAGCATGGAAAGGGCTGCTTCCAATGCCATTGCCTCCAACTTTGGATTTAACCCTGTATGATGATTTTGCAAAGTGTACCACCAGATAAGTTGCTGCATCAGATACACAAAGGATTTCATAAAAAGTTCCACGTTATAAAAGCAGTTTGGTTGAAATGATTTGACATGGAAGATCCTTCCCGTATGTCTGTCATACTCTCCTGGGAACTTCCCTTTCAACAAGACTTGAGCTAAGTCAATGAGGCAACTTAATTAGGGGGGCTACTGACAGGAAAACTCTTCTGCACACCAGTATCTCTGGACTCAAGGCCTGCATTTCAAATCAAACTCCTACTTCACATGGGATCGCACTTGTAGGTCCATTGTATAAGTAATGGATACATCAGCAAAGATGGAACATAAACTGCCTTGTTATTACCCTCAGATCACTCATCTTGCTCTCTGATGTTTTGTGTACATCCCAGGATTAAGCCCTTGATAGCTTGGCAGTAGGTGCATTGCTGATGAAATGCAGAACAGCTTCTTGGGGAAGACAAATATCTGCATCACAAAAAGGTGGCCAGTTAGAAGGCAACTGGAGGCCTGCATAAATTCA